ACTCTGGGCCTGGGCACTGTCCCTCAGCTCTTCAGCTCAAGGCTAGCACTCTACCACTTGAGCCACAGTGCCACTTCCAGCTTTTTTCTTTTTGCTTATATGGTGCTGAGGAATCGAACCCAGGGCCTCATGCATGCAAGGCAAGCGCTCTACCACTGAGCCACCTTCCCAGCCCCACTTCTAGCTTTTTCTGTGATTAACTGGATAAACATATCACAGACTTTTCTGTACAGGATGGCCTCGAACCTCAATCCTCAGATCTCAGCCTCCTGAGTAGGTAGGATTACAGATGTGAGCCATTGCCACCCAGATGGCAGCCATTTTTTATGTGCAATTAAAAACACACACACACACACACACACAAAAAAAAAAAAAAAAACCCTACTCTCCCCATAGGTGTAAATATGGATCTAACCATATTGGAGCAAATAACTCTTTTACATGCTGGCCAAAATGAAACAAATAACAGGGCTTCTGTCCACTCCATGATTTAATATAGTTATCAACTTTTTTTAAAAAAAAGGAGTATAGGCTCCCAAAAACTCTTAAAAGTATTTTTTAAATTATCAACTGGGCTTTCTTGGCTCCCAAAGAAACTTTCCAGTGCCAAATGGCAGTTTAATGGCAGTGAAATCTCCTTGTACTACTAATATTAATGTATGCTAATAAAAAGGTAATAGTATAAAATACAAACCCCAATACCAGGTCTCCAGGATTTAGAAGATGTCCCAAATGAGTGCGACAAAAATACTGTTTATCTGTATTCATTTCAGATGTTTTCTGCACCCAAACTTCCCCAAGGGTATGCTTAACAGGAAAGAAAATGCACTCTTCAATAATTTAAACAAACTCAAGAAGCACTTCAGAGGAAAATTAAGTACAATATTGATTTTTGATTTTGTAAATATTCACATTAAAGATTAGAATTTTTAGTTTCCAGATATCTTAAACATATGGGAAAAGACTCATAAGTAAATACTAATTTTAAAAAAGTGTCACTTATTTTGCTAAGATTTTAATGTTTTTTGTGATTTAAATATATGCACATATTTCTGTACAGAGACAAACATATATATATATATATATATAAAATACACACATATTCACATGTATATCCTTTACATAAACAAATGCACTGAATAATTCAACTTTGTAAGCACATCAGTATATACCAGGGTTAACTTTCCCTATTGACAAATGAACTATTGATAGCATGTTAGGAAAGATTTTAATGGTTTTATAAAATAATAATACCCCTTGAACAACTTATACATAGAGAATTTTCAAAGAAACACATAGGATGACTTACCAATAGTTCAGTTGAGATGTTTGCTCAACTACTGAGTCTCTAAGTACTATTTCATACCAAAAGACAATAGACTTCTATACTTTAAAAAAGATGCCTGATTTTAGTCACACAACTAAAGTTAGAACAGTTAAATGCCATGTTGTTTGTCCAGAAAGCAAGCTCGTTTTCAGAAGCATGGAAAGCCATGTCAAAAGGACATAGAAAAACATTCTGTAGGAGTTCCCACTGGCTAACTCTGGGGCAATCTATGCATTTAAAAACAAAAAGATTGAAGCAAGAGAGAAGAAATACAGTAAATACCCAATTTAATGTGTGGTCCCAACTGGAGACTTACTTGAAACGATACTTCTGAGTTAAATGAAGGAATGTGAATAGACTAAATAGTTCATAGGTAAAACAGTGATTCAACAATTATGTAACAAAAAATTCCTATGTTTTAGAGATATATGTTTAAGTATTTAGTAATAATTTTGAAAAACAAAAAAGGCTAGTAGATAATTTAGACCTTCAAAACTTTTATAATAATGGAGTAAACATTTAATATTTCTTCCCCAAAACTTTTCACAAAGTGTATAAGTCTATCAAGTTCTACCACAATGACTCCATGTTTTAACAATATTTATTTTTAGCTTAATGTGATACTTATTTTAACCAGACAGACTCCTCATTTTGTAAGGGAAGAAGGGAGCTAAGGAGGGTAGAGAAGGAAACCATAAGATAATAATAATAACAATAAGCAGTAGGGTGGTAGGACATAGCTTACCTTTTTTGATATCACCCCAGCACCTGCACTGCGCTTTGGATGGTGGACTATGCTGCATTCCATCACAATAAACTCTTCCAGCTGTTTGGGATGGCATAAACTATTGAAAGGATGACTCCAGAAAGTGCTGCCATCAATATCTGCAACTACAAATGAGCACACAACACTAAACATAGGGGAATTGACAGGTTTCAGGGTCCTCAAATGTGTTAGGAATTACAGTGCCAACTCATTTTCTACAGCCATTACTCATTTCTATTAAGTCAGCTCCAAACTGCTTGCAGAACAAGGGGGGGGAGGGGCGGGAGAATCAAGATCACACGTATCTTCCTTAATTATAATTCTAGTAACACAGAGCTTATAAGATAGAACTGTACAATTGAATTGCATCCTATCATTTTATTTTAGAAACACATCAATAAATGAGGCTGCTTATGTCATGGAAAATAAAGCCTAGTTTTACCTAAGACAGAACATCCAATTCAGACTAGAAGTACAGCACAAGTGGTAGAATACTGCCTATTAAGAGCTAGGCTCTAAGTTCAAACTCAATACTGCAGACATTCTGATGAGCTAGAATTGATAGAAAGTAATAAGTGAATTTCTGGGAAATATAAAAAGAAACTCAATTTTTAATAATAATTTGATTTTTAAAACTTATAGGAAATCCATGAAAAAAATACAGCGACATAAGAATACAAGGTCATTTTTAAATAGTAGTTTTGTAAATGCTACAAATTATTTGTAATAATGATGAAATAGGTAAAATTCCTTTTTAAACTTAGTGATCACACATGGATTACCTACAAAAGGTCAAGTGTCTCAAAATGCTAAAAACTAAAATTTGTCGATAAACTAATCACAAAAATTAAATTTAGCAACTGAATTAAGTCTCAGTAAAAAAAAATTAATGGACTCAAACTAGGAAAATTTATAAAAATTCACAGAATTGTTTTATTTTTTAAGAATGTATAACTAATCAACAGCTTTATAATTCGTGTTACAAACATGATTAATTTTAGCAGTTGTTCAGAAGAATATCACCCATTTAGATGCATTGTACTCATAACCTGACTGTTCCAATTGAATCCCTGTTGTACAACTACTTAATTTTTTTAAAAATGCAATGAAATCCCTTCTGTATAGCTAATGTAAGCTAGCAAAAAAATGTTAAAAGAAAACCAAAAGCCAGTATTATCAACCACGACAAAATTAACACTATAAATTATACTACATGTTAAACAGGACATCAAAGCAAATTTAGTTCCAAAACTTACCTTGTAAAGTATTTGGATCTATAAGATGGATAACACTAGTTACTCGAATACAAACACATATCTGGTTCATATTTCCAAGGCTTTGTGCCAGTTTTGGAGAAAGGCAGACAACATTATCCTAGACATAAGAAGTAACATTTAAAATGAAAGAAATCTCAGGTAACAGTTTCTGATGAACAATCATCAATGTAACCCTGATCCAATTGTACTTGCCAAGCCAAAACGGTTTCCTTTTATTTTCAAGACAAAAATCTCACTCTGTAGCCCAGGCTAGCCTAGAATCCACAATCCTCCTGCCTCTCTAGTGCCGGGTCTACAGACATACGCTACTCCAAAACAGGACTTTGTCATTCCTATACCAATAAAGAGCTTACAAAAAATAAATCAGGAAGGACAGGAAAGAATGTTGAAAGAAGTGACCTTGATCAAGACATACTGCATTCAGAAACTGCTTTGTTAAATGGCAACTCCACTGTATAACACCTAAAGATAATTTTTTAAAAATTGAAAATAAGCCGGCGCTGGTGGCTCACGCCTGTAATCCTAGCTTACTCAAGAGGCTGAGATCTGAGGATCGAGGTTCATAGCCAGCCCGGGCAGGAAAGTCCATGAGACTCTTATCTCCAATAAACCACTAGAAAACCGGAAGTGGTGCTGTGGCTCAAGGGATAGAGCACTTGCCTTGAGCTGAAGAGTGCAGGGACAGCACCCAAGCCCAGAGTTCAAGCCCCATGACCGACCAAAAAAAAATTGAAAATAAACCACTTGTTCTTAAGCCATGTCTGATGCTGGGCACCCATGAAATTCTTGCTACTCTGGAGGCTGATATTAGGAATATCACATTTTGAGGCTAGCCCAGGCATGAGCCAGGTGCCAGTGGCTCACGCCTATAATCCTAGCTACTCAGGAGGCTGAGATTTGATGATCACAGTTCAAAGCCAGCCCAAGCAGGAGCATCTGTGAGACTCTTATCTCCAATTAACCACCAGAAAACTGGAAGTGGTACTGTGGCTTAAGTAGCAGAGTACTAGCCATGAGCTGAAGAGCTGAGAGCACCCAGATCAGAGTTCAAGCCCCATGACCAACAAAAAAAGTTTACATGACTATCTCAATGAATAACAACAATAAAAAGACAGGTAATACATCTGACTTTATACCATGTGAAAAGTATCAATAGGAGGATCATGGTGCAAGCCATCCTGGACGTTAACTGTAAGACCCTATCCTATTTCAAAAAATAACAAGAGCAAAAAGGACCAGGGGTACGGCTCAAGTAAAGGGCTGGGGAGGCATATGGCTCAAGTGATTAGCTGTCTAGATTGTGCCAAGGTCCTAAGCTTACACCACAACACTGCTCCCCTCAAAACAAAGAAAACAAGTAAGTTTTTTTCCTAAATGTACTTGAAATTTATTTGAATCTCAATAAAAAGCAAATTTCAAAGACCAATATATGGCTCTTAAACAATTACATGTACTAATATATACTAAAAATGAAATTACCAAAAATTACGTATGTCTTACATGAACATTGGAAGGTATCATATAAACCAGCAATGCAACTTTTCTTAAATAGGTATTTTCTTGTCACTATCCTCCGAACATGTAACAGCCATTTGCACAGCACTCCTATTGTATTTGGTACAAATAGCTACAAACTGTGGAAATTACACAGGAAAATATATATACTGGGACTTACACATCCTGTACCACTTTATAGTGGTACGGAATAGTGATACACAGTGGTACATACTAAATTTTAGTATCTGAAGTGAAAGATACTCAAATATACCTACAGGGTCATAATAAATTAAAGTTTTTATTTTTATTTTTTGTTGGTCATGGGGCCTGAACTCTGGGCCTGGGTGCTGTACCTCAGCTCTTCAGCTCAAGGCTAGCAGTCTACCACTTGAGCCACAGTGCCACTTCCAGCTTTTTCTCCTCATGTGGTACTGAGGAATCGAACCCAGGCCTCATGCCTACAAGGCAAGCACTCTTACCACTGAGCCACCTTCCCAGCCCTAAAGTTGTTATTAATAACTTACTATCAATCTACAAGGACACACAGTTGGGTACAAAATCATTAGTACAACATTCTACTGATGTTCAGTAACTATTTGTTGAACTATAGTTCAATTAGGTGAAAACATTTTATATGTTATATTCAGATTTTTTTCTAATAAAAATGACTTCATGATCTCTTTTCTGTAATAGTTTAATCTCACCAAAATTTATCTTACATATGTTTGCATATATTCCTCAAAGTAGATGAGTTTTTAAAAATAGTATTTCTTATAATTCAAAGTTGCATGGAACTAGAAGGAATATATTTTTATCTTAATACATCAAAATAAAAGCTATAACAATTCATAATAGTCTGGTTATTTTTATTATATTTTTAATAAGGCTAAGCATATCATAAATCATTTGAAGAGATCATTCTACATTTTTAGCAACAGAAATAAACCATGGGCTACAAATAACATGTAAATCAGTTATTCAGTTGTACTGTTATAGATCTGAATTCACTTTTATAAAAAGGTACCTTGCAGATTGGAACTATTTCCACAGAAAAAGTGCTTTTGTAATTGCAAGTGTTATTATGGATATCTTGAGAGATCAACCTTTGTGATGTTTTGAATCTATTAAATAAAGAAAGTTAATTGTTATTAAAAAAATAGTACAGGTCTTTACTTGAATAGACTTGGGAATATCAATTTTTACTAGATCAAATGATCACTGTCTAAGGTCTGAAACAGCTTCCCATTGCTTGATATTACATTAAAATGTAACTTCATCCACTTTCTAAAAGCCATACCAAGGCCCTAGTTTTTGTTCATATTAATCTCACATTCCCAATATAAACACCACCTGTAAAAATGTCCCCCATTCCTGAAGTGCAAGACCTAGTTCTTTTATCAGTCTACCCATAACTCCGTCTTCTCATTCCGCTTAAATACAGCTGATCGATGATTCAGCATTAGTGTTTATTGCCATAGAACTGGGTTAAGCTCCCAAAAAACATTCTTACAAATTCTTTGGCTAATATATCCCTGAAGTGGCTAACAATAAAATGTTCTTCCTAATTACTTAATACTACAATTTTAAATATTTTAACAAACTATATCTAATCTGGGTGCCAGTGGTTCAGGCCTGTATTTTTAGTTTCTCGGGAGGCTGAGATTTGAGGACTGCAGTTCAAAGTCAGCTAGGCAAGAGTCCATGAGACTCTTATCTCCAATTAAACACTGAAATAAAAACTGGAAGTGGAGCACTGGCTCAGGTGTTAGAGCATAAACCTAAGCAACAAAGCAACATTGGCCCTGAGTTCAAGCCCCAGAACTGGCACACACACACAAAAAGATCTAAGCCTGAAAAGCAGACATGGCCTACCCCATCTATTCCCTGGACTTAAATTTACATTCACAACATACCTACAAGGAACTGTGCACTGAAGAAATTCTACCATCTTCTGAGCATGTTGTTTTGAAGAATAATAGAAATCTAGACCATCTTTAAAAAAAGAAAAAAACACACCTGAAAATAATCCTGCACATTAAGTTTTCTTCTAACATATCACAAGTCAGATCCCATATTAAATAAAATCAAATTATTAGCAAGCACTAAAAGATTATATCCAGGGCTGGGAAGGTGGCTAAGTGGTAGAGCCCTTGCCTCACATGCATGAGGCCCTGGGTTCGATTTCTCAGCACCACCTAAGCAGAAAAAGCCAGAACTGGTGCTGTGGTTCAAGTGGTAGAATGCTAGCCTTGAGCTGAAGAGCTGAGAGACAGCACGCAGGCCCAAAATTCAGGTCCCACAATCAGCAACAACAAAAAGATTATATCCACAACAGACTAGGAATTCAATTAAGATGTGCTTGGCAAAAGAAAAGACAAATGAATCAGATTATTTTAATTCTAGACAAAAAAAAGGCCAAAGAGGGAAGGGGAAAAAAAGAACATTTCGGGTTATGAATAGAACAATCTACCAAGAAAACAACAGGAGTGTATTTAATTGAGACATGTGGAGGCTCATGCCTATACAGTAATGCTAGATACCCTACTTGGGAGGCAGACAGCAGAGGATTATGGTCCAAGGACAGCCAAGCACAAAAGTCCAAGGGACTCCATCTCAACCAATGGCTGGGTGAGATAGTGTGTACCTGTTATCCCAGCCATAAACAGTTTTATTTTATTTATTTTTTTTTGGGTCCAGTTGTGGGGCCTGAACTCTGGGCCTGGGCACTGTCCCTCAGCTCTTCAGCTCAAGGCTAGCACTCTACCACTTGAGCCACAGCGCCACTTCCGGCTTTTTTCTTTTTGCTTATGTGGTGCTGAGGAATTGAACCCAGGGCCTCATGTATGCAAGGCAAGCACTCTACCAGGGAGCCACCTTCCCAGCCCCCCATAGACAGTTTTATAGTAAATAGTGTAATTCAATAATTCAGTCGTTCCTTTGAGAAGAAATTATTTCCATGCCTGTACTTTAGAGTAGCATTTTAAAGACTCACATAAATATTATCCTAAGAGATTTGCTTTGCTTTAGAATGTTTATAATTTATATTAATTAGAACTATGCATTAATTACCAAATACCTAATAGTATGCAGTATCAAAATAGTAAGTGCTATGATCACAGAACAAAGTGCTTGACTAGCACAAACAAGGCCCTGGGTTCAAGACCCAGTACCATAACATAAGCAAGTCATTGGGAAATTACGTAAACGTTTTAAAATTCCATCTTAGGAAATCTCATTATATAGTATTTGTGTATCACTGCTTATTATTTTGAGTTTAGACCTCTGACAGATACACTAGTATCCATCACAAGTACTGCTTGGCATATGAAGCACATTAAAAACATCACAAAAGAATTTGCACATCCCAAAATTAAATATGCTCTTCCCATCAGAACTACTCTCTCCACTACATGAGTTTCTACTCAATCTTCTACCAGGGCAGTCTATACTGAACTGATACTACAGTTCCTTGTTTACTTTTCTACTAGTGAAATAAGCAAGCTATTAAGGGTAGAATTAATATAATTTGCTCAGCATGGCACCTACTACAACCTAGATGCTTGATGAATGCCTTGAACCAGGACAGGGGCAGAATATCAAAGAAATAAGGAATAGATCTAGTATATTTAGTGTATCTAGTTCTAGCCACTAGCCCTTACGTAAATTTAATGTGAGTTTAAAACAAGAATATTCAAAGTTCAGTTTGTGAATTACACTAGCCACATTTCAAAGGCTACTCAACTGTCATACAGCTAAGGGAAACTTACAAATGTTTTCTCCCTACCACTAAGTTTACTGCTATAGTAGTAGGCCAGATATCAGTAAAATAAGACTATTCAGGGTAAGGTGAAACAAAAGTCAGACATCATTCAAATTCTCTGAAATTTACACTCACCATGAATCTCTTTGATACGAAGTGTATTCTGATGCATTCCATACTTCAGAATCAACTGCTCCAAATAGTAGAATGTTTTTTTGTGTAAAGTCTAAATATAAATGCATAATGTGGTAAATCAATTAAGTGCTCCAAAAATCACTTACAAATATATCCAAATACCAGCTATCGATAAAGCAAAGTAATTTTTCAAACAAAAGCAGCCTTTACAGAGTATCTAAAATGTAGCATCACCTTCTAGAAAATAGAGGATACGGTAAGAAGGGGATAGGGTTTTGCTAATTGACATAGTTAAAATACAATGTGTTAGACACTTGTCTTTTTTTTTTCTTTTTCTTTTTTTGTCAGTCGTGGGGTCCAACCTCTGGGCCTGGGGACTGTCCCTAAGCTCTTCAGCTCAAGGCTAGCACTCTATCACTTGAGCCATAGCACCACTTGCAGCTTTTTCTGCTTACGTAGTACTGAGGAATCGAACCCAGGGCCTCATGCATGCAAGGCAAGCACTCTATCACTGAGCCACCTTCTCAGCCTAGAGACTTGTCTTTGAGTACCTTTTGCCTGACTTGAATTACAGCCTTCCAGAAATCTTTTGCTTCTATTCTGTGGCAATCTCCACACATCTGAGACTGGATGATGTAGTCCACCACAAATACCTGCTGAAGGATAGCGCCATTCATCACCTGGGAAGGAAAGCAAGTACAATCCATCTTATACTTCTGCTGCATGATACTTTAAGGTTACTTTAAAACCTTTTTCGAGCTCTCTCTCTGTTCTTTTCTTGCTCTCTCTGCTCTTTTCTAGCTCTTTTCTCTCTCTTTCCCAGCCACGTAGAGTGCCAACCTTGCCTGGTCCCAGCAGGTCTACTGAATAAACCTACCCCTTACCTGAAAAAAATAAAAATAAATAAAACCTTTTTCGATGAACACACTAAGAATACAGCAAAATTTAAAGCCATAAAAATAAGCTATACTATTTCAAGAAGCATATGCAGGTTTGTACTCATCAGCTGAAGTGGCTGTGATATTCTTTGAAAAATGTGTATATTCACATACACATGTATGCTGATGGTGGTATGTGTATACAGAGAATTAACCCTCAGAAGAGACAATTAAGCAGAAATTCTTAAAAACAAATGATTCCTAGCTGGGTGTGACAGTACACACCTGAAACCCCAGCTGTTTGAGAGGACAATGATTTGAGGCTGGCTGGGGTTAAAAGAAAAAAAAGAAAGGCTCTATCCAAAAACAAACTACAAAGAATTAAGAATGTGGTTCAAGTGGTAGAGCAGCACCTTATCAAGAATGAGGCCCTGTATTCCAACACTAGTGCTACCAAAAAATATAAGAAAAATTATTTAATTTAATGGTTCTCAAACACAGGCAATCAGATATTGCCTGGGAAGCTTTCCACATACACACAGGGCTGGTGTAGCTGTGCTTGCTTCCTACGTAAAGACTTGGGTTTAATCCCTAACACTAGGAAAGATAAACATTGCTCGGCCACACACTTAGATATTGTGATTCAACTACTGAGCAATTCAGTATGATGAACAAATTTTAAGAATCACAGACATTGTTTTAACTTCTGTCCTTTCCTGCTTTAAACAAGAAAATGGTGGAGGGGGCCCCTACATGACCCAATCTTCCTGCTTTAAGCTCCTAGATTACTAGGAATATAAGCATGTGCCACCACACTCCGTGTATTTGAAAATATCTAGCCTAATGATGAACAATGGTTGCTCATCATTTGTACAGATGATCAAAAGAACAAAGGATTGAAATCAAGAGCATACTGTAAGCTATGAGTGCCCTAGGCCCTCATTTTCATTACTCGAATTTTAGCCCAGCTTAAAAACTAAATGCAGAGCTTACCTCTTTCTGAATAGTTAATTTAACTTTAAGTCTCTTAGAATGGGGTTCAGTCCAAACAAAGCCTGCATCTACAAGTCGTACCTTCAACAAAATACAAACAAAAGAACATTAAGTTTTCTCCTGAGGAAAAAAAGGATGAAATAACTAATTAATGAACAGCTTTCAAGAGAATACAGTAAGGAGGCTGTAGTTGACATTACCACACACTATATAGTAGCAGCATCAAATAAAAGAACAATTCATGGGCTGTGTTATGCAACTGATATAATTCAAACAAGAATTAAAGTATTTAACAGGAAGCCAGGTATCACTCACACCTATAATCCTAGCTACTCAATAAGCTGACACAGGAGAATCATGGTTAAGAATCCTAGCTACTCAATAAGCTGACACAGACGAATCAACCAACCCTTGAGCTGGCTAATGCTCTACCACTTAAGCCATAGCTCTACTTCCAGCTTTTTGGTGGTTAGCTAGTCTAAAGACTTTCCTGCCCAGGATGCTTTTGAACTGCAATCCTCATATTTCAGCCTCCTAAGTAGCTAGGATTACATGCATAATGTGAGCTTAAAACAAGAATATTCAAAATTCAGTTTGTGAATTACACTAGCCACATTTCAAAGGCTTCTCAACTGCCATACAGCTAAGGGAAACTTACAAATGTTTTCTCCCTACCACTAAGTTTACTGCTATAGTAGTAGGCCAGATATCAGTAAAATAAGACTATTCAGGGTAAGCTGAAACAAAAGTCAGACATCATTCAGCTTTTTGTTAGCCATTTTAACAAACACACAGAAGGATTTTTCTGCAAAATGAATTTTAACAGAAGGATACTCATAAATACTGACTTTAGCTGTTTGACCTACCTTACTCAGAGGGGCTTTGATTTTTTTCAAACATAAAGCAAGAAGTTCCCTGGATTCTAAAGCACACTGTACCCAAGTTCCTGGTGGCTGAAAGTACCTGAGAGAAGAAAACATACTGAAATCAAATGCTGCAGGATAAACATAAATTTCTGAGTATAAAATAAAAATATTATCAACCAGAAATATTACTCATAGTTGCTCTGGAATACCCCAAATATTTAACAGAAAACTAGAGACAGTACCTTTAGTTAAAAAGGAAAAACTCTGAGCAAAAAAATCTGGTAACTTATTAGTCTTATTAAATTATGAATAGTAGCTCACTGAAATTTCAATGGTCTATTCTGTACTCCTAAAATTCTTAGAATGGCTTGTTTCTCATACACAAAAAAGGCAAACTAGGACCTTACTATATTATGTATCAGCAATAGTTCAGACATTCATCTATAGATCAAGTTTCTTTCCAAAAATTAAACTGCAAACCTTGAATTTTAAAACCGTGCTCTTAAGAATATCAAATGTTCTGGGCACCAGTGACTCACAACTATACTCCTAGCTTACTCTGAAGTCGAGAGGATCAAGGTTCAGCATCAGCCAGGGCAAACAAATCCAGGAGAATCTTACCTCCAGCAAAAAGCTGGAACTGGAGGCGTGGCTCAAGTGGTAGAGTACCAGCTGTGAGTAAATAAACTGAGTGAACATAAGAGGCCATGAATTCAAGCCCCACTACTGGCAGAAAAAAAATGCAAACATTTATAAAAGACTAAGCCTCACATTTGCTAAGCCTGCAAAGCACACATTCCTTAAAATTACATGTTTGTATATGTATCTGTACACATGTTTACACACACATATACACATAGATTTCAAATTCTCCAAGAGATCCATGAATTACCCAATTGGGATAAAAAATATAATTTTACTTCACTAACCAGTTTTGTGTTGCTCAACGGCCTAATAAAGTGCTTATGGTAACAACTAAAGAAAACAAAAGGATGTTAAATTAAACAGCAACTTTCAAAAGAAGCCTCTGCTTTAAAATTTAGTCTTTATTTTAAGCCATTCTAGATTTGACTTACTAAGCTTCTTTTCTGTCTCAACTACATTTTAGTTACCTGTAAACATTGTTTTTTAAATATATTATTAGTTAAAACATAGGTACTTTCTATTATATAAACTTCTAATAACTAAAGATTCATGGTAACATTGGCAACTAGTATGTCCTTAAAATCTATCCTTATTCTTACAAACATCCATACCCTGTCTATCAACTATATATATCAAACTTACTAAATCCATTAACAGAAATAATACAGATTCAAATACCTTTACACTAACTAGATTAACAGGGCAAGCTAGAAAAATATACCATAAAATTGCACATCCAAAAGTTCTTGCCAACATCAACCTAAGTGAAAATTAAATTCTACTGCATAATCTCTCTTCTGTGGGTTGTAAGTATCTCTATATAAACCTCTATTTTAAACATGGTTAAACAGCAATGCACCATACCTTTGACACTGTTTGCAGAAAGAAACTGAGAGTTGTTTTGGAATTCCTTGGCTGATATCTACTTTACTTCGCAAACAGGCCACACAAATATTGGCAGGATTTGGACTAATTGGGACACCACACTCACAACACAAGCTTGAATAAACAAGAGATAAATTTTTCTAGTTAAGATTTATAAACACAATAGGTAAATAAAACAAAAGCTTTCAACAAGGTAAGCCTTTTATTTAAAAAAAAAAAGACATAGAAACAAATCTGTCAGCAAAGATGAAATAAAGAGTAAACCTCAAATACTGGAAGTGGGTGGGTGAAGGGGGGGGAGAGAATGATGGTTGCAACTGTGAAAATGGTCAATGTCCCTTGGGGGTAGAATCAGCTCTGTACAACAGAATTTCAAGCAATGACAGACATGTTCTAGTTCTGGAGTGTTAGGTAAGACAGCCATGAGCCTCACTCAGGTGGCAACAGGGCCATGGCAGAGAGGTGCAGCTGAAGAATTCAATTTTTAATTTAATTTTATTAAATGTACATTTAAACAGCCAGCACAGGTCTAAATAAACCTTAAAAACAAATGTTGATATACATACTATTACAGTAAAATGGAGATGTATTAACAAATACAGAACTTTTACTAACCTCAATTTCAAGTATATTAAATACAACAAAAAATTTTAAAGTCTTAGACCAAGGCCACCCACAAAAGTAATCATAATCCTGTGGATATGTTCTTCCAGTGTTTCTAAACAGACACAATGTACATATTTAATTTTATTCAATGTAATTTTAATCCACATGTTAATTTTTAACAAAAAGCAAAGTTACAATTAATTTCATAACTCTATACCAGGAAAACCAGTCCTGCTATTCATCACCCTTTTTAAAAACTGCAAATAAAGAGACTAACAGGACAGGTACTATACCAATGGCAAAAACAAAAGGAGAACTCCATGTCAAGAATATGTAAGTGTACCCCTCTTTAATTCAAACACTTCAACTCTTAAGTACTAAGCCTTTACAAGAGCATCTGATCAGTACTGCTGCACCCTCATTTGCTCTGAACCTTGTTCATTCATTTCCTCAGGTTTGGAAAGGACTGCCCTGTCACCTTGCTCTGATAAACATTTCTTTTTCTTTTTTTGTCGGCTGTGGTGCTTGAACTCTGGGCTTGGGCGCTGTCCTTCATTTCTTCAGCTCAAGGCGAGCGCTCTACCACTTGAGCCACAGCGCCACTTCCGATTTTATAGTGGTTTATGGGAGATAAGAGTCTTACAGACTTTCCTTGCCCGGGTTGGCTTTGAACCGTGATCCTCAGATCTCAGCCTCCTCAGTAGCTAGGATTACAGGCGTGAGCCACCGGCGCCCAACTTTGATAAACATCTCTTAATGTTGCATTTATGGAAAATGTGTAAGGTATGAACTACACAATAAAAACTGGTAAGTAATAGTAATTACACAGCAACGTACTCCAAAGCATAAAGGGCACCTGTAGAGACTGCCAAAATATATTTTACCCAAAACAGAGAGGAAAGTACCTCTAAATCTATCGGTTCACAATATATGGTGAGTATTAAAAGTGTATTAAGAGCAGAAGTTTGTGAACCATTAATGTGTTCTCCAAAAGAAAACTGACTCACACATGGAATCCTAGCTACTCAGGAGGCTGAGTTCTGGGAATGGTAGGAAAAAAACCATAAGGTTCTGATCTCTGATGACCGCTAAAAACGGAGGTATGGCCCTCATAGAAAGCCAGCTCCAGTGAAGAGCTAAAGGACAAACTCAGGCTCTAAGTTCAAGCGACAGTACCCATTACAAAAGTAAGTGTGACAATCCTCTGGTGGTGACCTGCAAACTCCCTAAGGTACTGAGCACCCGAAAGGTGTCCAGGATGACAGCACAGCTGAGCGGTTCATGTTTTTCAATTCAAGGCAGAGGCATGAGGTCCTCCCGCGCGAAAAGGGTCTGCTAACAGGTATCTCAATCATCTGCAACTCCATAACCAACCAGCAATTCTATTTTGCAAGCAAAGGCCATTTCCCCCCCTCCATGAGTGCGCAAGAACCTCTGGCCCGCCATCCATCTCCTTCCCCGGGAGGCCGGCAAGCGCGGAGGACGGGCGCACCCGAGCTTCGCGTTCAGCGAGGACGGGGGGCGGGGGGGACGGCGTGGGGACTCACATGTGCGCGGGACTGGGATCGGTGGACTGAGCCAGGTACTCCATCCTTCCCACCGCCTCGCCTGAAAAAGAAAACCCAGGAGATCCGATCAGCGGCCTGGTCCCCGCTCTCACCCGGGGGCTTTCCCGGCTTCTCGGAGCCTGGCTCCACGCGGGACGGACAGACAGACAGACAGACAGACACACCACGCTGCCCCGCGGTGGCTTCGGAACGAGGAGTTCCCGGAGGATCCGAACCGGGGACAGGGGGAGAGGGGAAGGACGGCGCGGGCCGGGGACGAGGGAGGGGGTCGTGTGGAAGGCCGGGCGGTGCCCGGGGCCAGGCCCGCACGGAGCCAAGCCGCGGCCGCTCGGAGCCGGGCACCCCCGACTGGGTCACTGCGCACGCGCGCACACACACCGCCCCGCACCCCGCTGCCAGCGCACACGTGGTGCGAACGCTGCCCCGGCTGGCGCGAGCCCACAGCCCGCCCCCCCCCCCCCCCCCCCCCCCCCCCCCCCCCCCCCCCCCCCCCCGCCACTAGACCCAGTCTCGGCTCCCCCAAACCCGTTCGGCGCGCCGGGACAAGGACAGATATACCGAAAGGCCGCGACAGAACCAACGGCGGCCTTCCTGTCAGGAGCCGCAGCCGTCGGCGCGGCTACGGGGGAGATCTCGCGACAGCAAACCTCGAAATCCCGCGCATAACCCCCGCGATACCGGGTCGGGCGAGGGCGGCGGCGAAGGGGAGGGGCCGAGAGGTGGGTGTGGCTAGTGGATGGGGCGGGGTTACCAGCTGGAAGGGAGGGGCGAAGGGCGAAGCGGGCGGGGCAGAAGGAGGCGGCCGGATGTCTTGGAAGGTGTTATCTTAGGTTGGCACCTCTTCTGATTTTCTGGCCAGAGTTTACTCATTACAGATCTGTGTAAACCTCTTTCCAGAAAGCTCGACTGGAAGTTCACTTCTTGGGTAAATAATCCTGTTGCATACAAAGTTTGTCTGTACACTGATCAGTATTGCACGGAGGAATCAGAGCAACGCCATGAGCCGTGTAGCCAGATGGACAGAAGAACGAATGACCTGAAAGGCATAAATTGCATGTGAAGAAATCTGTTGTTGTTAGACTAATTACGAGTCTGATAAAAAAAATGTGCTCTGGATAGTATGCTTACATGATTTCTGACTTTGATCGCAAACCACACAGACTGCAATTTACTTCTCTCAGGATAACATGTCAACTGCTGGAAGAACACAGCCATTTTCCCCCAAGTCTTCTCACCCCAAATTTCAAGAACTAAGCAAACACGTGTTATAAAGGCTGATCATCAAGCAAGGCCTTTCACCATTTCTTGTCCCTACTTACAGAATCCAGTCCACCGTGCCAAAGTGTGGCATTCTGATTTTATGTTATCAATGCCTTTAATCCTTCAGTGATTGCTGATTAGTTTCAAGATTATTTCTTTTTAGAATGTCTATAATCAAGAACTCTAATAACAACAGATGCAGGAGGGGATGTGGACCAAAGGGAAGCCTACTGCATTGTTGGTAGGAGTGTAAACTTGTTCAACCACTTTGGAAAGTACTGTGGAGGTTCCTCAAAAGACTCCACATAGAGCTCCCCTATGACCCAGCAAT